GGTGTGTGGATGAAATGGGATAGCCCCCTGTTTCTCAGGCTGAACTTCTTGGAGAAAGAGTGACATGGATATGTGATCAATTATAAATCTCGGTGTGAGTGACACAATTATAATATTAATTTATGCAGCACATTAAGATAGATGGCACATAAATAACTTATTGGAAGATGGGGATTTTTATAAGAAGGGCACGAGGGTTTTTTATGGTAGCTAATTTAGTGTCAGTGATACAAAACAAAAGGAAGTGTATTGTGTTTATTAAGATATGTGTTGTCCCCACCCCAACCCCAGCCCCACATCCTGAAGAGTCAACATAGATTGCCACATTCTACTTGTTGTTTTGCTTTAGTGGAAAGTGCTTAGTGTTTCTCAGCCGATTTTCGCTAATCTCTATACACACTATAATTCTCAGGAATGGCTTTCCAGAGGTGAGGGCTTAAGTGGGTAGCAGGGATGGGTGGAGAATCGGTGCCCAACCTTGCACAGTTGGAAGGCATTTCCTGCTAAAACAAGGGCAGCAAATCTTTTTCCGTTTGGAGGACAGAAGTTCCCATGTGGGGAACATTTCAGCACACCTAAAAGGAAGCACTTCTCAATGAAATGCATAGTTAATCTATGGAACTCTCTCCCACTCAGATGGCTTTAAAAGAGGATTGGACAAATTCATGGAGGAAAGGGCTATCAATGGCTACAAGTCACAATGGCTATGCTCTGCCTCTAGGGCTGGAGGCAATAAATGCTTCCGAAAACCAGTTTCTGGAAACCACAGGAAGGGATACTGTTCTTGTGCTGGAATCCTGGCATCTGGAATCCACAGGCATCTGGTTGGTTACTGTGAGAACAGGATGCTGGACTAGATGGGCCATTGGCTTGATCCAGCTGGCTCTTCTTATGTTCCTGGAGCTGCCTGCCAGTGGTAAGTGGGGCCACAGGCAAAAGGAGCAATGGTTGCAGTTCTTACCTTTTTACAGAGTCTCATTACAGCTGTGCAAAAGTCAAAGGTTTTGACACCCATACCAAGGGAAATATCTCCTCTTCCTTCATCCATCAACATCATCGTCATGCTTCTGCATGCTACATTTTCACAAAACTGCACCTGAAGTGGGTCACAGCATAACAAATCAACAATAAGTATAAGAATTCAAAACACAAAAGAACAATTATAAATAATCATGGTATCAACAAGCACACAAAAAATATGCGCAACATTGTGTAAAACGGTACAAATGGGATAACCTTGTTAAACTAAGTGACACTGCAAGTCAGACAACATGATTCAGTAACTGAAAAGAAACAAAAGAGAAAATTGTCTTGATGCAAAAATTGTCGCTGGCATTGTACTGTCTTGAGAAACAGTGGAGTGAGCCTCCCGGGGTGAAGTTAAACTGATGTGTTAGTAGCAGCAAAGTAACCTCCCTGTAGTGCAAGCCTGGGCAGTGTATATGGAGGTCTTGGGCTGACCAAATAACAAGACGCCCCCCCCCAAGCCTCACTGATGTGGTCCAAAGGAAAGCATAGCAATACATCTGGCAGCAGCTTGGCTGAAAGAGTTACCAGAAGGAGGCATACGAGGCCCCATCCAGCCACCTTAGGGACTCTACTCCAGATTTGTGTAGGGTTTACTCCTTAGTCTTTTCTTCTTTCAGAGAAATCCCACAGGGCAGCGGAGGTTTAGGATCGGAGTTTTCCTTCTCCTAGATGGGCCACCTTCCCATCTGCCCCTACACTTCCCTCTATAACACATGCAGAAACCACCCTCTTGATTGTTGGACCCACTGTTGGTGTTGCCCACTCAATCCATCAGCGCCTCAGTGAGTTAGGGGAAGTCCCTAACCTACTGAGGGTATTGGATGCATACCGTCACCTGGTTTAGCCAGCCAGTCAAATTCATTCCCAGGGTGTGGCCACTGGTGCATGTTGACAGCTTCCAGGAGGCACAGATGAGAGCTGAGTGCAGGGTGGCGACTACCCCTTCCTTAACACCCCTTAACCCCAATGCAAAAATAGTATGGAATAATAGTATATACTGCATCACCTTCTTCCAAATGATGCATCTGTATCCAATGGTTTGGCTCTGAGACCCAGTCTTTGCCATCCAAGGACTTCCACCTCATCTCCCATCCAGGATGATGTAAGCACTCATGCCCCGGCTCTCACCCCACATGGCAGCCAATTAACTTCCTTTTGTCTCCTCTTCCACCAAACAACATATATCCAACCAGGCTAGGGCCATCAACAAGGTACCAGGGTAGCCTCAGTCCTGAAGGAAAGGAACATCGTCTGAGTTCAAGGACACACATTCAAGCCAGCCAGAACAATCTGAGGAGAGTTCAGAGCTGGAATGGCTAGGTGTGTGGTCCAAGGAGAAGGGCTGTGGTCTAGGGAGGAGGCACAGCCCAAAGAGAGCCCCAGGAACCAGATAGAGAACATAAGAACATTAAAAGAGTCTGCTGGATCAGGCCAATGGCCCATTTAGTCCAGCATCCTCTTCTTACACTGACCAACCAGATGCCAACCAGAGAGGTCTGAGAGGTTGCATTTGACCTCCAAGCCTAAGACCCCTGTGCCAAGAGAGAGCCACTATTGCATCAATCCCAATGTAATGTCCTTGAGCGGTTCACCCCCATCCCCCCAAAATCTTCCATCTGATTTGGGCCTAATGAAAGGACCAGTTGTGAGTCTATATTGTGCAGTCCCTTGATGTTCCTTCTCTGAACACCTCTGAAGCATGAACAAGGAAAGTTCCAGGGGAGAAACTGTCAGCCACCTGTCGTGCTGGTGATGCACCGGTCAGCCTGAAGGCTGCCTTGGGACAATGTTGGTGCTTAAATCTCTTTCTCCTCCATCCCACCCATGGAATCATTTGGTGCACAAAGGGAAAGCCAGGCAGAGAGATGACCATGGCAGTGACTCCATGCCTGGTGTAGCAAAGCTTTTTTTCAATCTTTGCTGTGCAAAAACACATACCCTGAATTCAAAATGGGTAATTTATGTTTATGCTAAAGATGCTATTTCCTTCTCTCTGATTGGGATGATTAATTGACTCCTTTCCATAAATTAGTAAGGGAAAGGGATAGGTGGTTAGATAAATTGGTAACAAAACGGAATAATTTCATTAAATTAAGAGTGTTGTGTGAGAGATCTCTCATCTTGTAAAGCTAAATAGATGGCAAAGGAGGGCATGTGAGGGGTCAGATTCACCTACAAAATAAAGAGGGGGTATCTTAAGCAAATGTTAATTGCAACATATTTTATCTCTTGCTTCAAAGGGGGATGAAGTTATCAGCTTTTATGACTTCAAAGAAACCTTCAAACAAATCTCTGAAGCTATCTGAAGGAAACATTAATTTGGAAATTTTAGATCCTTCTGCTATTTACCCAGTTTCGTAAGGTTGGTGCCAGTTTTCCAAGCGTTCATATTAGAGCCAGAAAGCTTGGACCTTAAATGCAAATTGGCAGGCGTGGACAACATGGTTGGGGTGCTTGCCTGACCTCCCAACAGCGGAATCATTGCTGCATTCCAGGAGGGAGAGGGAGAGGGGCAAAGCAAGGTGGTTGGTGCTGCACAAACACATTGGGATCAGTGATATAGCGGTTCTGCTAGTAAGTTTGCACTGAATTCCTCACTGCCTCACCTCTCCAACTCCCCTCTCTCAGGATGCAGCAGCGACTCAGCTGTCAGGAGGTTCAGAGGAGTGCCACTGCCCTAAAGACCCTCCACTGCTACAAATTGGACAGGGTTATATTATAGTTATGGTTTGAAATTGGCCACCCTAAACAACATTAGAATACCTAAGAAGAGCCTGCTGGATCAGACCAAAAGGGACCCATCTACTCCAGGATCCTGTTCTTGCTGTAGCCAATCAGATGTCTCTGTTAAAACCTGGACATGAGCACAGGAACACTCTCCCCTCCTGTGTTTTCCAACAACTGGTATTCAGAAGCACTGCTGCCTGAGGAGGGAGGCAAAGCATATCCATCATGGCTAGTAGCCATTGATAGACTTCTTCTTCATGAATTTGTCTAAACTTCTTTCAGCGTCATCTAGGTTGGTGGCCATCACTGACTCCTGTGGGAATGAGTTCTGTAGTTTAGCTATGCACTATGTGAAAAAGTGTTTTATAAAATCTGTCCTGAAACTTCTAATGTTCAGCTTCATTGGATGCCCACAAGTCCAGTGTTATGAGAAAAGGAGAGAGAAAAGGTTTTCTCTATCTACTTTCTCCATGCCATGCATCGTTTTACGAACTTCTCTCCTGGTGTCTCATACTCGCCTCTTCCCAAAACTAAAGAGTCCCCAAACACTGCAACCTTTCTGAATAGGGACCTTTTTGCATCTTCTTGATCATGTTGGTTGAGAGCCAGTGTGGTGTAGTGGTTAAGAGCGGTGGACTCGTAATCTGGTGGACTGGGTTTGCTTCCCTGCTCTTCCACATGCAGCTGCTGGGTGACCTTGGGCTAGTCACACTTCTCTGAAGTCTCTCAGCCTCACTCACCTCACAGAGTGTTTGTTGTAGGGGAGGAAGGGAAAGGAGAATGTTAGCCGCTTTGAGACTCTTTTGGGTCTCAAAGGAGGATAAGGTGGGATATCAAATCCAAACTCTTCTTCTTCTTCTTCTTCTTGGTTGCCCTGGTCTGAATCTTTTTTAGGTGAGGCTGCCAGAATTATGCACAGAACTATACAAATGTGGTTGCACCACTGATTTGTAGAATGGCGTTACAATATCGGCAGTTTTGTTTTTGATCCCTTTCTTAATGATCCCTCATTATATGGTTGTCCCAGAGGAACCACAGAAGACTTTTCCTCTTCACTCACTGTAAGCACCTGTGGCAACACCTGACTTCCATTGATATTTTTCAAATATTGTCTGGTGTCCCGTAACAACAAAGGAAGCTTCCTTACACTTAGTCAGAAGGCTGGTCCATCTAAGTCAGCATCGCCTATTCTGACTGGCAGCAGCTCTCCAGGCTTTGAAGCAGGAGTCTCCCCAAGCCCTACCTAGAGATGCCATTGGGGTTTGGACCTGGGACCTTCTGCATGGAAAACAGATGCTTCACTACTGAGCTACATCCCTGTCCCTATCTGAGGGCCCCTACTTTTACGCATTTGTGTCCTTTTTCAGATGATGCATCTTTGAGGCTTGATAAAATAGCTATGGTGACAATAAATGGCCCATGAGCATATTTTCCCCTCCTTGAAGCCCGTGACAAGTTCAAGTTGGGTGTCTACTGAATTTCTTGGGCAGAGTTGCTTCTCTTTATGGGCTTCTTGTCTGTGGTGCCAAAGAAATTAAGCATTGCACTTGAAGGTTGTGTGTGTGTGTGTGTGTGTGTGTGTGGAGACTGGAAAGGGAGGAGGAGAAGAGGAGACACAGGAGGAGTCAGGCTGTTTGCCAGCCACACTGAAATTACTTTTGTAACCACTCCAATATGTGCACTAGAATTTAGGGACTCCGATATATTCATATAGAACAGCTTTACACAAAGGGTAGCTGAAATATGGTCTGGAACAAACTGCCGAAGTCAGCAGTAGAAGCCAGGGATGTAAATCAGCTCAAGGAGGGTTGGGTTTTTTTTTTTATAAAGGAGAGACGAATTGGGTAATGCTGAGTCACTGGCTAGAAGCTCTGCAGTTTAAGATGCAGAAGCATGGAATGATTTGTATATCTCGGGGTGAGGAGAAGAGGTGTTCACAGTCCATAGAATCCCTCTTTGGGCTGTTAGGTTTTCATATGTTTTCTTGAGCTGGTACTTTGTTACAGGTAAGGATGGGCTAATTTGTCAATTCCAATTTCTTATTTTCCCAATCTTCAGTTATCAGCATTTCCACATCAGTTTGTGATATATATATATATATGCTCTATAAAGTTCTCATGAAAATCCATTAGCATTTTAGATCAGGATTCTGGTGCAAATTTATCTCAATACCCACCATTCCCTTTGCGTGGTGAGTTCCCGCCTCCCACCAGAAGAAATAAAGACACGTGACACAGATATTTAAGGTTAATGGGCGAAATAAGGCCACAACTTTATTGGTTACAGGTAAAGAGCGGTATTGGCTTAGGCATTGGTCCTATCAGACTATCCGGCTTCAGTCTGCTTGCTTGAAGACCAGGAAGGGTTAACACCAGCAGGGGGAGTCCTGCTGATGCACATCAACTAGGTACTCCCCCGGGGTCACCACTCGGGGGTGTGCTTTAGGCCCTGGCCTCCATAGGCTTCGGACGAGGCCACGCCCCCCGGAATCCTTTACTGGACTACCCTTCAATGATTGGGGAAGATGATGGAGCTCCCAGCTGAGCGGACCGAAAGAGGGAGATCCCGGGGCCGTGCTTGCCTTAAATGAGGCAAGCCATGCCCCCAGAGCCAGCCGATTGGCTGGCTCAGGGGATGACGTGGCCCCAAGGATTCCCCTGTTTGCGCGTGGGCTGAAAGCCAGCCTCCATGCGCGTGTTGGGGGCGTGAGCCGCAACACCACCTCCTCCAGATGTCGGAAGTGGCTTTCTATGAAATTCTTGCTTAATAGCCACAATTTTGCAAACCAGTTTCCCCTAATATAATGTGTTTTGTTTGTTATTTTCAACAATATATGCACTTTCATATATATACTTTATCCTAGTATATGGTGTTTTCTTTGTACGCACGACTTTGCTGGAGATTTGCATCCCACACTTCAAATAAATTTTATCTAGTCCATCACCCTGTTCTCACAGTGGCCAAGCCAATGTCTATGAGAAGCTAGCAAAGGGAAGTTGAGCACAATGCCACTCTCCCTTCCTGTGGTTTCTGGTATCTGGTACTGAGAAGCATTGCTGCCTCCAGCTGTGGAGACAGAGCAGAGCCATCAGGGCTAGTTGCCTTTAAGAGCCCTCTCTTCCATGAATTTATCTAAGCCTCTTAAGATGGAGAACACCCCTGTCTCCAATGGGCATGTATTCCATAGTTGAACTATGTGCTATGAGATGAATGTTTGCATGCTTTTCCTCCAAAGAGCTCAAGATTGTGGACATATTCCTCCTTTCCTTTTATATTTGAAACAGCCCTATGTGGTAGGCTTGGTTAAGTTAATATACGTTCATAAGCAGCAGTTCTTGACAACGAATTGTGAGAAAGGGGGCAGGATGCATGAGGCCCAATCCACCAACAATGTGTGGATTCCAGGAAATCCTGTTGGCATTTGAGAATATAAAAAAATTCAAAATGTAATGGACGCTTCTTTTCTGCATGTTTGACATCGTTGTTATTAATCATTTCCCTTGTATTCAAAGTCTTGAAATTTTTGATTGCAACTTTAGATTATAACTTGTATGTTTTGCTGCATCGCTTCTTAAGGTGCCATTTAATTTCCTGGCTCTGAGTGTATAAAAAATGAAACGAAACAAAATGCAAAATATAAAACAAACCACTAGAAATGGTTATAAATAATCACAGTACCAATAAGTATGGAAGATTAAAAAGAAGTCAACCCATGCAACGTTAAGAAACTTTAGGGATAAATTTCTGACATAAAAGCTGTTCGACAGTGGAAAAGGCTCCCTCAGAAGGTAGTCTCCTTCATTGGAGGTTTTTGAATAGAGGGTTCTTCTGTTACAAGGGTTTGTACTTGGTGATCCTTGGGGATCCAATGATTCTATGGATGTATGAGGTGGTGCAAATACTCCCACCCTTATTCTCACCCAGAGGGCACTGGTACCCACTGTTTATTTATTTTATTGCATTTATATCCCACATTTTTCTCCAAGGAGCTCAGGGTGGTGTATACATGGTTCTTCCCCTACTCATTTAATCCCGGCAACAACCCCTGTGAGGTAGGTTAGGCTGCGAGGCAGTGACTGCTCTCCAAAGCCACCCAGTGAACTTCATGTCTGAGCTCGATCTCTTCCGGGTCCTTGTCCGACACTCTAACCACTGCACCATACTGTCTCCGATTATCGTCGGCTCTCACAGCACATGGCACGGACAACCGTTTGAAATGAAGATCCCCCAATTTGCAAAGTGTCTCAATGCCAAAATGCTGATTGGTTGGCAGGAGGGTGTGAGGGGTCCAACCTCACCCCATCATTTCTGGATTGGAGGATAGCTCACGGGGCAAGATGTTTGGCGTGGTGGTGAGCCAGCCCAGGGCCACTTTCTGCCATTGCACGGAAGCCTTAATAGGATTTGCAAGATTTATCGCTCAGCAATCGGACTGGGGAGATTTGTGCAGGCAATCAGCTGCAATTCATCCTCTCTACCTGTGTATTCCGGACCTCCGTCAATGTTCTGCCTCCCTCCTGATTGTTAGCTGCACAGGTATTGGTATTTATTATATTTTAAGACCCAGCAGATGTAGCGGGAACGTGGCAGTGCTTGGCCTTCTAGGAATGCAGCAGCAGCAGACGGGCAGATCTATTTCCCATAGGTTTCTGAGCCTGCAACTGAAAATGTCTTGTAACTCTATTAGGAAAGACCCATTGTGATCAATACAACCAACAGGGCCAGGCAAGCAGCTCTCAGAGAGGGAGGAAAATTGCACATCCCAGGGTACAGGACTCAAGGGAGGTAATATTTTCCAGACAGATTCTCTCCTTCCACACCCAGCCCTTTGTTTGCAACAGCGATTATTTTCAGGTGCTGGTGCTGGGGAGAAAAAGAGATTTTGGGATGCATTAGATGATAATGGAATGGGATCCATTACTCAGAGTTAGTCATTCAAGAAATTCGGTTTCTGTGTGTTTTGCTAAGGTTTCTCTGTTAGGAAGGGGCAAAGCCTCAGAAAAATATATTTTTATTTTGCCAGGGCTTGGTTCAGCTAGCTTTTGGGGAAGATTTATCTGAGAGATGATGACAGGGACAGCTTCTTGATAATAAAACAAAACAAAACTTCTTTATGTTCCACCACCCTCATTGCTGAAGGAGCAACGGATGGTACACGGAGGCACACAGAAGATCAGTTTGGTTCAGATAACTGTGTGGGAGTTAACTCTTGCATCTGTAGAAGTGGGCAGGATGTCCATCTATGATGTCCCTCTTTAAATGTCCCCACCTCTGCCCCCCACAGTTGCCAACACTGCCCAGTGGTAAAGTCCATGCTTTGCATGAAAGGCCGGTTCAATCCTGGCATCTCCAGGAAGGGATGGGAAAGATTCCAGTTTAGTCATGCTGGCCACGTGACTCGGAAAGCTGTCTGTGGACAAATGCTGGCTCCCTCCGCCTGAAAGTGAGATGAGCACTGCAACCCCATAGTCTCCTTTGACTGGACTTAACTGTCCAGGGGTCCTTTACCTTTTTACCTTTACCTCTTGGACAGTGGAAGCTGAACCACAGTCATCCTACTGTTTTTGTTTTTCTAATCCTCCTCAAAATTTCAACACCACATGCTATTTCCTGTCCCATGTCCCTATTTTCATCAGATAAATGTTGGAAGACATAGTTCTGATGTCCCTGCTTTCTTTTGTAGAAATGTTGGAGGCTATGGGTCTGCAGGATGTGCAACCATGCCACCATTTACTCTTCCTTCAAGCTCCACCCTCCCAACTTTGTTGTTGTTGTTTAGTCATTGAGTCGTGTCTAACTCTTCGTGACCCCATGGACCAGAGCATGCCAGGCACTCCTGTCCTCCACTGCCTCCCGCAGTTTGGTCAAACTCATGCTGGTAGCTTCAAGAACACTGTCCAACCATCTCATCCTCTTTCGTCCCCTTCTCCTTGTGCCCTCCATCTTTCCCAGCATCAGGGTCTTTTCCAGGGAGTCTTCTCTTCTCATGAGGTGGCCAAAGTATTGGAGCCTCAGCTTCAGGATCTGTCCTTCCAGTGAGCACTCAGGGCTGATTGCCTCTTACCTGGCCAAATTAAAGAACCAGTCAATGGGCAAGGCTTTCCAGAGGGGCTGGTAAGTCTTGCAGTGATGGAGGCAGGGAGTGGCTTCTGAATTGGCATGCAACACCAGCTTCGAGAGGCATGATGCTAATTCTAGCAGCAGGGTTCCCCCAGCCAATAACAGGATTGGGACATTAGTCTTTATTATAGCACTATTGATGTTCACTGTATGTGAGTAAGACAGAGCCCCGCTTTAGCATCTAACTGTCTTAGAAAGT